GGGACCCCCTGGGACCCCCCCAGCACCCTCGGGACCCCCGGCACCCACCATGGCGAAGAGGTTCTCGTAGCCGGTGACCTTGGTGGGCACCTTGGAGAACTTCTGGTCGAAGGCGTCCGAGATGTTGTGGGCGGGGTCGGTGGAGATGATCAGCACGCTCTCCCTCACCCGGGCTAACTGAACCGCCAAGCTACAACTAACCAGTTAACCAGGTTAACTAGGGGTTAACCAGGCATTAACCTAGTTAAACAGGGGGTTACCGGGGGTCCCAGACCCCCCCGGGTGGGTGGAGATGATCAGCACGCTCTCCCTCACCCGGGCTAACTGAACCGCCAGGCTGCAACTAACCAGTTAACCAGGTTAACTAGGAGCTAACCAGGTTAACCAGGGGTTAATCAGGTTAACCAGGGGTCCCAGACCCCCCCGGGTGGGTGGNCCAGGGGTTAATCAGGTTAACCAGGGGTCCCAGACCCCCCCGGGTGGGTGGAGATGATCAGCACGCTCTCCCTCACCCGGGCCAGCTGCACCCCCCCGCTGCAACTAACCAGTTAACCAGGTTAACTAGGAGCTAACCAGGTTAACCAGGAGTTAACCAGGGGTTAATCAGGTTAACCAGGGGTCCCAGACCCCCCCGGGTCGGTGGAGATGATCAGCACGCTCTCCCTCACCCGGGCCAGCTGAACCGCCAGGCTGCAACTAACCAGTTAACCAAGTTAACTAGGAGCTAACCAGGTTAACCAGGAGTTAACCAAGGGGTTACCAGGGGATTACCAGGGTTACCAAAGATTACAGGGGAGTTACCAGGAGGTTACTGGGGGTTAACCGGGTGGGTTACTAGGGGTTAACCAGGGGGTTAACCAGGTTGGGTTACTGGGGGTTAACCATATTAAGCGGGGGGTTACCGAGGGGTACCGGGGTTACCGGGAGATTACCAGGGTTAACCAGGTTAGCTGGGGGTTAACTGGAGTTACCAGGGGTTAACCAAGGGGTTAACTAGGGGTTACCGGGGGTTAGCCAGGGTTTACCGGGGGTTAACCGGGAGTTACCAGGGGTTAACCAAGGGGTTAAGTAGGGGTTACCAGGGGTTAACCAGGGTTACCGGAGATTACCGGGAGTTACCAGGGGTTAACCAAGGGTTAACTAGGGGTTACCGGGGGTTAGCCAGGGTTTACCGGGGGTTAACCAGGGTTACCGGAGATTACCGGGAGTTACCACGGGTTAACCAAGGGTTAACTAAGGGTTACCAGGGGTTACTGGAAGTTTACCAGGGGATTACCAGGGTTAACCAGATTAGCTGGGGGTTAACTGGAGTTACCAGGGGTTAACCAAGGGGTTAACTAGGGGTTACCAGGGGTTAGCCAGGGTTTACCGGGGGTTAACCAGGGTTACCGGAGATTACTGGGAGTTACCAGGGGTTAACCAAGGGTTAACTAGGGATTACCGGGGGGTTACTGGGGCTTTACCGGGAGATTACCAGGGTTAACCAGGGTTACCGGGGGGTTACCGGGGGGTTAACAGGGGGTTAACGGGGGGTTACCGGGGGGGTTAACCGGGGATTACCAGATCAGGGAGAGCCGATCCTGATCCCGTTATCCCACCCCGGTCCCGTTATCCCGGTCCCGTTATCCCGGTCCCGTTATCCCGGTCCCGTTATCCCACCCCGGTCCCGTTATCTTGGTCCCGTTATCTCAGTCCAGTTATCCCGGTCCCGTTATCCCGCCCCTCTCCCGTTATCCCGGTCCCGTTATCCCGCCCCTCTTCCGTTATCCCGCCCCTCTCCCGTTATCCCTGTCCCGTTATCCCGCCCCTCTCCCGTTATCCCGGTCCCGTTATCCCGCCCCTCTCCCGTTATCCCGGTCCCGTTATCCCATCCCGCTCCCGTTATCCCACCCCGGTCCGGTTATCCCAGTCCCGTTATCCCACCCCTCTCCCGTTATCCCGGTCCCATTATCCCGGTCCAGTTATCCCGGTCCCGTTATCCCACCCCTCTCCCGTTATCCCGCCCCGGTCCCGTTATCCCACCCCGGTTCCGTTATCCCGCCCCTCTCCCGTTATCCCGGTCCCGTTATCCCACCCCGGTCCGGTTATCCCACTCCCGTTATCCCGCCCCTCTCCCGTTATCCCGGTCCAGTTATCCCGGTCCCGTTATCCCGCCCCTCTCCCGTTATCCCACCCCGGTTCCGTTTCCCGTTACCCGTTACCCGTTACCCCGACCCTGACCCGGTCATCCCTCCCTGCTCCCGTTATCCCACCCCGGTCCCGTTACCCCCTCCCCGTTCCCCGCTCTCTCCCGCTCCCGCTCCCGTTCCCGGTTCCCGGTTCCGCTGCCTCACCTGCAGGTGGTTTTGCCCACGCCGCCCTTGCCGCCCACGAAGATCCACTTGAGGCTGCGCTGCTCGATGATGTTGGCGAGCGTCGGTTCCAGCGGCTCCACGTCGGGCGCGTCCTCGAACTCCTCGGGGCCCTCGGCCGCCCACCCGCCCGCCGCCGCCGCCGCCGCCGCCGCCGCCGCCATCTTCCCCGCGCCGCACGCCCGCCGCGCGCTGATTGGCCGCCGCGCCGCCGCGCCCCGCCTCCCCCCTCCTCCCATTGGCCGCTCCGCCTGTCAATCCTCGCCGGAGGGGGGCGTGGTCAAGCCCCTCCCCGCGCGTTGCCGGGCAACGCGGCGCCGGCGCGTGACGTCATCGCGCGGCGCCGGGCGCGCTGATGTCATCGCGCGGCGCCGGCGGCGGCGGCGGCGGCGGCGGACAAGATGGCGGCGCGCGGCGAGGAGCGGGAGGCACCGGAGGCGCCTTCGCCGCCCCCGCCGGGCCCGGGAGGCGGCGTCAACGTGTTCGCCAACGACGGCAGCTTCCTGGAGCTCTTCAAGCGCAAGATGGAGGCGGAGGAGCAGCAGCGGGAGCGCGAGGCGGCGGCGGCGGCGGCGGCGGCCGCGGAGGCGTCCGGTGGCGGCGGCGGCGGCACCGGGCTGGGCTCGCAGCGGGACGGGGTGAAGAGGAGCGGCGGCGCGCTCAGCTTCGTAAGGACGCGGCGGCTCCCGGGCCCCTCCTGGCCCGGCCCGAACCCGTGAGGGCGGCGGTACCGGTGCCGCTCCCGGTGCCGCTCCCGGTGCCGCTCCCGGGGCCGCTCCCGGGGTTCCTCGGGCTCCGCCTGGAGCTCCTCGCTGGCGGTGGCGCCTCCTCCCCGGCGCCGCCGGCGGATCCGTCCGTTCCGGTGCCTCCCCGGTTGTCCCCGGTGTTCCCCCGCCGAGCCCCCGGTTCCGTTCCCGCGGCCCCGGTAACGGGGCAGGTGTGTCCCTTCCCCAGGTGGGGCGGCGGCGGGGCGGCAACAAGCTGGCCCTGAAAACGGGAGTGGTGGCCAAGAAGCAGAAAACGGACGAGGAGGTGGAACCGGGAACCGGGGGGGAGGCACCGGGAACCGGGGGAGGGCACCGGGAACCGGGGGAGGGCACCGGGAACCGGGGGGATTTGGGGTCGGGGAGGAGAAATTTGGGGTCAGGGATGGGAATTTTGGGTTGGGGAGGAAAGATTTGGGGTCTTTGAGGGGGGATTTGGGGTCGGGGATGAGGAATTTGGGATCAGGGATGGGGAAATTTGGGGTTTTGGGAAGGAATTTGGGGTCTTGGAGAAGGAATTTGGGGTTTTGGGAAGGAATTTGGGGTCTTGGATGGGGAAATTTGGGATCAGGGATGGAGGAATTTGGGGTCTTGGAGGAAGATTTGGGGTTTTGGGAAGAAATTTGGGGTCTTGGAGAAGGAATTTGGGGTCCTGGATGGGGAAATTTGGGGTTTGGGGAGAGAGAATTTGGGGTCAGGGGTGGGAAATTTGGGGTCTTGGAGGAGGATTTGGGGTTTTGGGAAGGAATTTGGGGTCTTGGAGAAGAAATTTGGGGTCGGGGGAGGGAATTTGGGGTCAGGGATGGGAAATTTGGGATCAGGGGTGGGAAATTTGGGTTGGGGAGGAAAGATTTGGGGTCTTTGAGGGGGGATTTGGGGTCGGGGATGGGGAATTTGGGATCGGGGATGGGAAATTTGGGATCTTGGAGGAGGATTTGGGGTTTTGGGAAGGAATTTGGGGTCTTGGATGGGGAAATTTGGGGTCAGGGATGGGAATTTGGGGTTGGGGAGGAAAAATTTGGGGTCTTTGAGGGGGGATTTGGGATCAGGGACGGGAAATTTGGGGTGAGAGGGAGAATTTGGGGTTGGGGGAGGGAATTTGGGCTCAGGGATGGGGAAATTTGGGATCAGGGGTGGGAAATTTGGGATCAGGGGTGGGAAATTTGGGATCAGGGGTGGGAAATTTGGGATCAGGGATGGGGAAATTTGGGGTTGAGGGAGGGAATTTGGGATTAGCAATGGGAGATTTGGGATTTGGGGGGGAGAATTTGGGATTTGGGGGGGAGAATTTGGGGTCAGGGATGGGAAATTTGGGGTTTGGGGGGGAATTTGGGGTTGGGATGGGAAATTTGGGGTCAGGGATGTGAAATTTGGGATTAGGGATGGGAAATTTGGAATTAGGGATGGGAAATTTGGGGTTTGGGAGGGAATTTGGGATTCGGGATGGGAAATTTGGGATTTGAGGGGGAATTTGGGATTAGGGATGGGAAATTTGGGATTTGGGGGGGAAATTTGGGATTTGGGGGGGAATTTGGGATTAGCAATGGGAAATTTAGGATTTGGGTGGGAAATTTGGGATTTGAGGGGGAATTTGGGATTNAATTTGGGATTAGGGATGGGAAATTTGGGATTTGAGGGGGAATTTGGGATTAGGGATGGGAAATTTGAGATTTGGGGGGGAATTTGGGCTCAGGGATGGGAATTTTGAGCTCAGGGATGGGAAATTTGGAATCCCAGGTGGAACAATTGCAGTTCCTGGCTGGGAATTTTGGGCTCCCGGGTGGGGGAAACCGAGGCAGGTTTCCGGTGCGGATTTTGGGGTGATTTTGGGCTTTTTTTGGGGCAGGTGCTGACGAGTAAAGGCGACGCCTGGGCCAAGTACCTGGCGGAGGTGCAGAAGTACAAAGCGCACCAGTGCAGCGACGACGACAAGACGCGGCCCCTGGTCAAATAGCGCCGGCCCCCCCCCAAAAAAAAACCCGCGGGGGGGGCCCCAAAACCGGCCCGGACCCCCCAAAAAAATCCCCAAAAAAATCCCCGAAAAATCGGCTAAGGGGGCTCCAAAAAATTCCTCACAAAAATCCCGCGGGGGGATGCAAAACTGGCTTGGACCCCCCCAAAAAATCCCCAAAAAGATCCCCCAAAAAATCCACTAAGGGGAGCCCTAAAACTGGCCTGGAACCCCCTAAAAAATCCTGTGGGGGGCCCCAAAAAAACCCCCAAAAAACCTGAGGGGGGGTCCCAAAACCGGCCCGGACCCCCCCAAAAAAATCCCCCAAAAAATCCACTAGGAGGGGCCCTAAAACTGGCCTGGAACCCCCGAAAAAATCCTGTGGGGGGCCCCAAAAAACCCCCCCAAAAAACCTGAGGGGGGGTCCCAAAACCAGCCTGGATGCCCCAAAAAATCCCCAAAAAAATCGGCTGAGGGGCCCCAAAAATCCCCAAAAAAAATCTTATTGGGGGGGCCCAGAACTGGCCCGGACCCCCCAAAAAAATCCCCAAAAAATCCACGGGGGGGGCCCCAAAACCTGCCTGGAACCCCCCAAAAAATCCTGCTGGGGGGGGACCCCAAAATATCCCCAAAAACTCCCGTGGGGCGGAGCCGATGGCCACGCCCACCTCCCCAAAAATATGTAAATTACGCTGAACCCCCAAAATTGCGTCACGGGTGGGCGTGGCCGCCACGCCCCCTCCCCAAAAACCGCGCTGGAATTTGGGGACCCCCCCCAATAAAAACCCAATGGAAAGGTGAGGCCACGCCCCTTTGGGGCAGGCCACGCCCCTTTGGACACAAGCCCCGCCCCGTTTTCTATCGCCCCGCCCCCGCCGGGTTTGATTGACAGCGCTCCCCCCGCCCCTCCCCCCCCGCCGCGTTTTGGGGGGTCCCGGGGGGGTTTGGGGGGGGGGGGGGAGGGGCGGCAATAAAGAGCTCGGAGGTTTCGGAGGCGCTGAGAGGATTTTTGGGGGATTTTGGGGATTTTTGGGGTTTTTTGGGGGGTTTAGGGGATTTTGGGGGG